TGCCTGCGCGGTGCCGGTGCCGGTCCCCGCCGGGGCAGCCCTCCCTGCCTCCCGCAGGTCCCCGCGCCCGCTGTCCTCATCCCTTCCCCGCGGAAAGCCCGACGTTTCGGGGAGGGAGTTTCTTTTGATTTTTATTTCCCGGTCGCTACCGGGAGCCGTGAGGATGATGCACAACGGGCTGGTTCTTCCGCGTGTGCCTGTCGCTGCCGGTGGCTTGCTTTCCTTCTTTCCTTTTTTTTTTTTCCTTTCCTTTTTTATAGGCGCATGTTCCCTTTCCTAAGTTTTAATATTTCTGGTCTCGACCCCACGGCTCACTACAATATTTTTGTGGATGGAATTTTGGCGGATCCCAACAAAAAACCAACCACTGGAGATTTCAGGGAGGCAAATGGGTTCCTTGCGGCAAGGCGGACACGAATGTACAAGGCAAGTTCCTCCAATTAACACTTTTCCCGACACATATGTAGGTGAGAATGATTAATTAAAGCCTTTGTGGACTGGCTCTGTCGACTTCTTAAACGAGGATGAGCCAATGATGCTTTTTTAAAAAAAAAAAAAAAAAAAAAGAAGGGGGGAGGAAGGGTGGAGGAGAAAGTAAAAGGTGTTCGGAAAACACTGTTTTAATCCTTCTCGGTTAAAACGAAGAGAGTTTCGGCAGCAAAATACTGCTAAGTTTAACGGAGTCCTTCGACTTCGTGTGCTGCTGCAGTGGCAGAACCGGTGTACACGCGAGAGCCGTGATGTGGTTGTGTTTTTTTGTTGTTTTGCTTAGGAAACCGGGTGTACATGCACCCCGATTCCCCCAACACGGGAGCCCACTGGATGCGCCAGGAAATCTCCTTTGGGAAGCTAAAACTTACAAACAATAAAGGAGCATCAAACAACAACGGGCAGGTCAGTGGGGGCAGACGCTCTGCCAGAGTTATTTTTATGGCTTTAGGCAGAATCCTGCCGCTACCGTAGAGATTCCTTCCGATACCGTTTTTTGGTTTTGTTGTTTTTTTTTCTTTTTTTTTTTTTTTTTTTAAACCGTGTCGTTAGGTGAAAATAAAAGGGTGGTGGTGGGGGAAAAGCCCTCCCGTTTATTTTGCCAGGGGCCTCGTCGGCCCCGAGCGCGTTGCCCAGGCTGACACCGCTGCCCGGTGCGGCCGGGGAAGCCCACAGCCGTCCCGGGGAGGCGCACGGCGCCCCGCCGCCCGCGGGCATCGCTCTACCCGTCCTTCTGGCTCTAATTTTCATCCTCTTCCCGCGCCCCGTTCCCTTCTTTTCCTCTGCCTGACAGATGGTGGTTTTGCAGTCCCTCCACAAGTACCAGCCCCGCTTGCATGTGGTGGAGGTGAACGAAGACGGGACGGAGGACACCAACCAGCCGGGCAGAGTGCAGACCTTCACCTTCCCCGAGACCCAGTTCATAGCAGTCACCGCCTACCAAAACACCGATGTAAAGAGCTCCCTCGTTTATTCCGCTCGCGGTTGCCCGCGCTTCCTGCAGGGCCCGACCGCCGCGCTCCCTCCCCCGGGTCTCCGGCGCCGGGAGATGGGGCTCCCTATCTCCCCCCCTGGTGCCACCCTGCCCTGGCCGAAGCTGGCGAACCCCGAGCGCGGCCGCAGCCGCCCGTGCCCTCCGCCAGTGCCGCGGGAGCCCGCCGGCCCCCCCG